CCAGAGGAAGGTAGTAGAGGTGTTGATAACAGCTGATACTTGGCCCTTCCATGCGAGACCATGTTGGTGTTCTTTCAGGGATGTAGCTGTTAGCACCTTTGTTGTATAGATAAAATGAAACTAAGTCACAGAGAATTTTAGTCTCTCTATCTCTCTCTCTCTCTCTCTCTCTCTCTCTCTCTCTCTCTCTCTCTCTCTCTCTCTCTCTCTCTCTCTCTCGACAGGGTTTCTCTGTGTAGCCCTGGCTGTCCTGAAACTGACTCTGTAGAACAGGCTGACCTCAAACTCACAGAGATCCGCCTGCCTCTGCCTCTCAAGTGCTGGGACTAAAGACATGTGCCACCACTGCATGGTCAGAATTTTAGTTTCTTACACAAGGTATCCAGATAATGAAAAAGGTGAGCCCAAGTTCAAAGCAAGTTCAAGTATGTGCTTCCAGCCTCACTGGTAGCAGTAATTTACATTAAAGTATTTCAAGCTATAACTTAGTTGGTGGGGGAAATAGGCTCAAGGGAGTCTACCTGTCAAGACAGACAGACAGCCTGAGTTTTGTCCCTAAGACCACATGGTGAAGGGAGAGAACAGACACACCCTTCCCACACACACCACAAACAAACAAGTGTAGAAGCTGGGGAAACCAGCAACAGTTATCTCTGAGCTTCATGACTCTGGATGCTGCCTGTCCTCTTGACTCCAGTGTCTTTACAATAGGCTTTTTAATAAATAGAATCTTGATTTAGAATTGCCCTGAAAATTAAATTAGTTAACATACATAATGTGCTCAGAACAGCAGCTGCCACTTAGGGAGCATGCAAATGTGAGCTGCTGTTGTTGCTTTTGGACATTTTCTAAGGAGGAAACCAGGCATTTAGAGAAAGCTGGGAAGGCAAAACAAAGGGGCTGATTCAGCTCAGGCTTCAGAGTCGAGGTGATCCGCGTTAAGAGCCAGCCACTCTGTCAGTCTGTCACACACTTAATGCTGATGAGCCTTGACACATCAGGCTCTGTCAAATAATTGCTGGCTTGATGCGACTTCTGAGTCTGGGATAGCAAAGGGGTGGACAGAGAGGTACCCTATGTTTTTGCCTGTCATTCCAGTGAAAAGGAAGTGATTTAGTGGACTAAACACTGTCATTTCTCTGTCCAATGAGGAAAAAAAAAATAACCTGAAGGTAGGATTGAAAAGCTATTGTATGTGTACAGTGAATGATTTAAAATTTCATTTTTCTTCAAACATTGACAAATCCACATGTTTGAGCATCTTCTGTAAACAAGCACTGGAGACATTCAGTTGTTTAATCAAACATCATCTATATTTATTCTTTTTCTTGTTGTTTTTGCTGTTGTTGTTTCTTGAGACAACTGTGCATCCCAGGCTGGCTTCGAGCTTGGAACAGTCCTCCTGCCTCAGCTTCTGGAATGTCAGGGTCACAGGTTTCCACCACACCTGCCTTTATTTATTCTTTGGTCCCCTTTCACCTTTACATCCAATCATGGCAGTATCTCCCTTCCTTTTTGAAGCTGAGAACTTTTTAAAAAAACACTAAATTTAGAGTTACTTATTCCTAGTGATAGATGTACGCATGACGAAAGGGAAAGTACTATACCTGGAAAGGGCACCTTCTTTCTTTGCAGGAAATTCTATCCTCGCTTTGGGGAGGGGGCCGTACAGAATAGACCCTAGTATGGCAATTTACACATCTCCCAGCACTCAGGAGGCTGAGGCTGGAGAATTGTCACAAGTTCAAGGCCAGCCTGGGCTACAGAATGAGTCTGAGGCCAGTCTCGACTTCAGAGTGAGATATTACATCCACAGGTTCTCAGCTTCAAAAAGGAAGGGAGATACTGCCATGACTGGATGTAAAGATGAGAGGGGACCAAAGCATAAATAAAGGCAGGTGTGGTGGAAACCTGTGACCCTGACACTCTAGAAGCTGAGGCAGGAGGACTCTTTCAACATCGAGGCCAGCCTGGGATGCACAGTGAGACTCTGTCTCAAGAAACAAACAACAGCAAAAACAACAAGAAAAACAACAACAAAATCAGAGTAGTTGCATGCTTTTATGTCTGTAGTTTCCATTGGCTTGACTGGGCAAATACTGTGCAGTTCATAACAAACACATTAGACCCAGAGCCTGATCTCTAGGTAGACAGCTGAGGTGAACTTCCTCACAGTACCCTGTCATGCAGAAGGTACTCATCAGGTAAAATAAAACAACCTCGTTCATGTCCTCCTTTTGTTTATGCCCAGTACCACTGGCCACCTTTTTGGACCTTGGTATCACTCAGGGCCTTAGACATACTTTTTCTTTTATCAAAAAGCCCTTCCCTCCAGCATCCCATGGTGTTCCTTGTTTTTCTCCTCTAGGCTGGTATGTCATTTTTTTTTTTCTTTTCCAGAGAGGGTTTTTGTTTTTCCTGGACTGTCCTAATCTAATGTTCTCAACTCACATTAACTGTTGCTGTTGCTGTGTCTATTAAAGTAGATGTCACTTGTGCTGTGTCAGCATTCTGTGTTCCTTTGATAGTAGCATTTACCAAACTTTGTAATTAGTTATCGTTTTTCCTTTTTTTCTGTCTATAAATACATGAGGCCATAGCCACACTCGCTGGCTCATCAGTTTTGTAGATGATAGGTATACTGTAGGTACATAGCCTATACTATATGAATGGCTAGTACACACCAGTGTGGGAGAAATGGGAGCAATAGAAGGTTGTTGTTGACACCAACTGAAATTCTTCCATTTTTAGGTATTTGTTTGAGTTTTGACTTTGAGGCTATTACCATAATAATACCTGATTTTTTATTTGCAACCCCGTATTAAAATTTGACCATTCCAAAATTGGTGGAAAGAGTATCATGTCCCTCTCTCTCCAGGTCTGGGATTACAGGATATGTCCACTGTGCATGGTTTTATGCAGTGCTAGGGTTCAGACCCAGGGCTTCTTGCCTGCCTACTAGTTAGGCAGACCCTCTACCACCAATTGAGTTGCATCACCAGCCCAGCATTTTCCTACTGAAAAAAAAAAGTGTGTGTGTGTGTGTGTGTGTATGTGTGTGATAAAGTCAAGTTTAACTGAGATCAAACATTGTAAAATAAGTAGGCAAAGGCTGTTCGGTGTCAGGTGTCAGTGGTCTCTAGGTTATCTGATTAACAGGCATTCCACAAACAGATATTTGGAGAAAGCACTGATCACCTTCCCCATGCTCCATTTGTTCCTGGGAGTAAATAGGTGAACTCCCTCTTTATAGAAGGCAGGGGCAGCAGGATAGAATAGCAGGGAAAAGCCTTGAAGGATTTAGAGTTGAGATTAGGGGCCATCCTGTCACTTATTGGTTTTTGTGACGTGGGTCGAGTCCCAAACCTGTTTTCTCATCTAGGAAATGTGCTTGGCTCAGTATTGTTTCTGAGCTCAGGTGAAATGATGCGGCAAAGGACTTTGTAAGCTGTGGAATGCTATAATGGCACTCCTGCTTCACCCTGACGGTGGGATCTTTTGTGAGTAGAAGCTGAAGTGTTCCCAAGGACAGTCAGGTGCTTTGCAGTTAGGGCTACTCTCCTAATAGCAATTAACACATTTTAAAAGATGAATTAGTTCTCATTCCCAGACTTGTTCCACCAAGTCTAGAGTCAGTTGGATTAGTAAATGCATATTTAATTATACTTTTTATTTTTAAAAGTTTGAGACAATGCCACCTGGACTGGCCTTGAACTGTTTTCAGAGCCTAGATAGGATTTGACCATTGCCTCAGCCCTCATAAGTAGCTCAGGCCCAGCTTGGTTAGATGGTTTTCCAGGAGTATTAAACTGTGACCATCATTTAGTCAGATCAGTTGAACCCCCTTAGCGGTGTGATATAATGTAACAAGAGTTAAGGACCTGAAACTTGATGATCAAGTTCGGATTGAAATTCTAACTTCAGGGGCTGGCTGGAGAGATGACTCAGTGATAAAGAGCAGGACCTGGGTTCAATTCTCAGCACCCTCATGATGATTCGGTTGTCTTTAACTTCCAGGCACTCAGCATGGCTCATATAGAGTAAATAAATATAATATTCATATATTCTAATGGCAATGTTTGCCAGGCCAAAATGACCTTTAGACGGTTACATTGTCTGAGTAACAGTTCTTCGAGCTCTGACACTGTCAACCTGAAGCCTCTTGGAAAGTGAACTGAGGATTTGGCAATGGCAGGAGCCATATGCCTCATACAAGCTTGGGTGTGGGTTAGCTCACTTGGCTCACGGGTTGCAAGACCTAGCCCACGTGTGATATACAGGAAGGAATTTAGAGCTAGCTCTGGTTTTTGTTTTTCCTAGGCTATTCTGAAAAACTGAGTGTTTCAGATCCCTGTTATAAAAACTACTTTGAACAGGCACAAGAGGTCAGCAGACCTCATCAACATTGTATGCACTATGCAGACTAGAAGAGAAACCAGCATTGAGCTAGGCAGTATTTAGGGCAGATGTCACAGGAAAGGGGAAGTGGGTTAACTGGGGGCACATCCAGCTGTTTCTGGGTGGTGATGATCAGTTTAGGGTAACACTAGGGCAGAAGATGGGACTGTGGTGAGCGCTAGGAACTTGGTGGAAAATACAGAATGATGAGCTGCTGGCCAGAACTGCATTTTAGTAATTGACAGCATTGCCTAGGATCCCACAGAACTTGAACCAGGCTCCTCTCCTTCCCTAAGCTCAGAATACAGTCTTGTTTCATGGTATTGTGAATTAATAGCCGATGCCAGTTAAAACCTTTGGGGAAAGGGGCACAGTGCTGGTCATTAATGGATATTTCTATGCATCATTTTATAATTTGTAATGTAAAACATAATGCTGTGGTGGTGGTACTTTTTGTTTTTGTTTTTTCTCTCCATTAAATGGGGATACTTATTCCTATAAGGTTATTTGTGGACTGAAGTTATATGATAAAGAAGAACTATATATGTACCAAAAATGAGCAGGGAGCTATTTATTCTTTCTTGTTTGCTTTTTTTTTCCCTAGTCAGCCAGGAATAGTTACCATCAGTTATCATTTGATGGCACTTCCTAGTGGTGATCTCACCATAGCAGTTGTTTGCTTTTTTTGTTTTTAAACAGGTCTTAAGCTGGTCTTGAACTTACTATGTAGCCTTGTCGGACTTTGAACTTAAGGCTGTAATACTGCTTTCGCCTCCAAAGTGTTGGCATTACAGGCTTCACTGCCACAGATGGCACAAGAGCTATTCATTGTCTACGCATTTACACTTATATGTGTTCCTCAGACATATAGATGATTAAGTCAAGGCAATGGGAATCTAGTGGGGAAAGGGCTAGAAGTGTGGAGACCAGCACAGTAGTGATCTCATACAGCTGTGACTTGAGAGTGGGAGCATATGCAAAGGGAACCAACTGCGGGGGCCTCAGAGAAGGTCCCTCAAGGCCATAATAAAGACACAGGTGTGTGTGTGCTCACACACATGCACACACACACACACACACACACACACACACACACATACGTACCCTGCCTTCCCTGATTGTGAAATTCAAAATTGCTGTGGTTTAATGTTAGCATTAAGCTTTTTGAAGTCTTGCTAAGAAAAGTTAGGGTTATATACAACAGTATCTACGACTCTGACTTGTAATTGTTTACCCTGCAGCAGTTTGTAGTCATCTGAAATGAGCTCATAGCTGAGTCTCAGAGCTGTGTCTCTGTCAGAGTGCTTTGGGGTGACTGAAGCCAGGAAGATGGATTTAAAGGTAGGGATGGTCTTTAAGAAGATACAGCCACTCTGTTGAGACCTTTTTGTTTTGTTTTGTTTTGTTTTGTTTTTCAAGACAGGGTTTCTTTGTGTATCTTTGGAGCCTGCCCTGGAACTTGCTGTGTAGATCAGGGAGCCTCAAACTCACAGAATTCTGCCTGCTTCTGCCTCCTGAGTGCTGGGATTAAAGGCATGCACCACCACTGCCCTGATCCTGCACCTTTCCACCCTGTTGAGCTTAAGAGACACATATTTGCATAGATATAGATGGACTTTTTTTTTTTTTTTTTTTTTTTTTACAATTATGGGTTGAAATGACTCAAAGGGCATTCTAAGGAGAGAGCTGCAGTGTGGAGGTAAGTGGTGGTTTGAATGAAAGTGGTCCCATTACAGAGGGTGGTACTATTTGAAAAGATTAGGAGGTATGGCCTTGTTGGAATAGCTCTAGCTGCCTTGGAGTAGTGAGTGTGTGGCCTTGTTGGAGGAAGTGTGTCACTAGGGGTGGGCTTTGAGGTATCCAATACTCTACCCAGATCCAGTGCCTGCCTCTCTTCCTGCTGCCAGCCAATCTAGATGTAGAACTCACAGTTACCTATCCAGCAGCATGTCTGCTTGTCTACCACTATGACAGTAATGGACTGAGCTTCAGAAACTGTAAGCAAGCCCCAATTAAATGCTATCCTTTATAAGAGTTGCTGTGGTTATGGTGTCTCTTCACAGCAATAGAAACCCTAAGACAAGGTAGAAGGAAAAATCTTGGGACTGAGGGCTAATTTAGGAATAGGAGAGACTGGATTTGTTGAATGTTAAGCTATGGACTGTAAGTAAGGTTTTTCTGCCCGCCGCTGCGCCAGCCCCAATTAATACACTGAGGCTCTGTATTAGATATAATTCTGTTGGCCCGGTTACTTGTTTCTTATCGGCTAGCTCTATTTTAATTATTAACCCATTTCTGCTGATCTATGTATTTCTCTTACCGGGGAGCTGGCCGGCATACTGCTTTCTCCTGACTCTCCATCTTGGCTCCTCCTTACTACTTCCTCTTTCCTCTTTGTCTCCTAGTCCCTCCTATCTTGCTTTCCTATTGGCCAACAGTGCTTTATTATTAACCAGTATGAGAAGCATATATACATAATGGCATCTCCCATCAATGGACTCTGGGCTTAATCTGTTTGATGGTGGGCACTAACTAGTAGTATTTTGGAATGACTACAGAGAACTTTTTAGAAGAATCATTGGATTTTTTTTCTTTAATTTAGCCATAAGCAATCCTAGATATATTACTGACAGTCTCAAAATCATGTTTTAAATCTCAGAATTTCATTGTGACTTTTACTTATCAATCATTTTGCACTAATCTGTGCTTTCGGCTGAATTCTTTGTCTTCTTCATTTGTTCTACCCTTTACCTTCATTCTTTGTTTATGAACACGTAGGGTTAGTATTCTCTGTTCAGAAAGTTCTTGAGCTACTAGTGTGGTGCACAGTACTAATAATCATGTGTCTGCTAGTTTATGATACTCGTGTCAGAGCAGGAAGCTGCACTATTATTTAGATACAGGTTCTAACATGTGAGGGAGAAATACACATGGCAAGGTGGGAAGAATAGGGGTTCCTTTTCCTGTTCTAGACAATTGTCTGTGGAATTAGATGCTTTATCCTGCAACTTCCTGTGAGCCCTGAGCATGGCGGTCCCTGCAACATGGATAAGCTTTCCTTGCTGTATTGAGAGGATGGGTAGGCATGTATCTTTTTCCTTTCCCAATCACAGAAATGGTGTCACAGCAAAGCTTTAAGGAAGGAAAGCTGGTGGCCAGCAGAGGAGGCTTGTTTAGGGTAGGAAAAGCATGAAGCGGGAACTCTGAGGTTCTGGGTCTTTGTTCTCTGACTGTGTGAATAGACGACACTACCTTCTTTAGCCTCTTCATCTGATGGTTAGATGAGAGATCTTGGAGAGTGTTTCTGTGTTCATTCATACCTTCTTTCATAAATGTTTCTCTGGACATGTCTACTTGGCAATTGGAAAGGATCCAGCCAGACTATTGAGGAAGTATGTTCTCATCTTAGTAATGACTATGCAGAGTGAACACTGGTCCTGGAGGTGTACTGTGCTCTAGCTTGTCATCAACTAACCTTGACCTGTGCCTTTCTGATAGCTTAGGTGTCTACAAAGCACTCTTGAGTGGCTCTGATCAGAGAGAAAGCCTCAGGTTGCATACACAGTGGCACAGATTAAATTCCATTATGAACATATCAGGCCCTGAAAGTGCTTTTGTTACTCTGAAATTACTCTCAGCTAGAAACCCAAGTGAGAAAGGCTTCTGAAGAAGGTGAAGCTCAAGTTCAAGACCAGTTTGATTTATATAATGAGTTCCAGGGCAGAAAGAAAAAGAAAAAGGAAGGAAGGAAAGAAAGGAAGGAAGAAAGGGAGGAAGGAAGGAAGAAGACACAAGGCTTGGAGAAAAGAAGGAACCTGTCCAGCTATAAAAGCAGATCTCAGATTCCCTTCCTGCCCAACATTTGTTGTAGGATCTATTCACAGGGCTGTTGGAGCAATCAGTGGAGGTGAGCTTGATTCCAAACATTTGGCAGAGCTATTGTCTATTGCTGTGAATGTTAGCATCTCTTTAGTTCATAAGATGAACACATATTCCAGGTACTCTGAAAGAAACCTACAAGGCCAAAAGCAAGGCTGGCTAAAACAAAAATAAACAAACAAAACAAAAATATATCACAAGTTATATGAATAGAAAAACAGAAAAAATCGTAATGAACAAAACACATGAGGGAAAAATAGACAAATAAGTCAAATGCTAGTAATGAAAAATGAAGCTGGGTGGTGGTTCATTCTTTTAATCCCAGCACTTGGGAGGCAGAGGCAGGAGGATCTCTGTGAGTTCAAGGCCAGTCTAGTCTACAGGGCAAGTACTAGGACAGACAGGGTTTGAGAGAAACCCTGTCTCAAAAAATCTCACACATGCACGCACACATGCGGTACTTAAGACCTCTGAGAAAGAGAAGAGAGGACAAGAGGGAGTGAGCTGTGCAAGTAGTGGGCAGAATGTTCCAGGGCAAGGTGACTTGTACAGAGGTGCTGAATTTAGGAAAGAGCCTGGCCTCTCCTTGGAACTGAAGGAAGACCAAGTACTGACCACACTTTTTTGCTACCTTAACCTATCTCTTCACTTGAGTTATATTCTCCAAGGGAAGAGGACACATTGAAGCCCTTAGCAGTGTCTTTCCTTTCTGCCACAGAATTGGCTTTATAGAGTGTTTATAAACCACTCGTGTACCCATCTCTTGCTTAGTCAACAACAGTGCCTTGAGATGAGTACTTTCTCTCCCTTTTTACAGGATGTAGTAAGGGATTTGATTTGGTTTGCCTTGGTGTGTTTTGGAAGGATCTTTCACATTGCTTAGGTTGGCCTTGAACTCCCTACATAGCCAAGGATGGCCTTAAACTCCAGATTGTCATATCTCTACCTCCTAGGATTTTAGGCATGTGTTGCTGTGCTAGAATGTTTATGTGGTACCTTAAAAATAAAACAAAAATACTTGCACACCTTTATAAAGTATATTCAAATGATTTCAGAGATAGTTGACAATGCTGCCCTGAGACAACATTTTCTCTGCAGACAGAGTCATTTGTTAGTCTTTCTGCATGCAGTGGTGGCTGATGTCTTCTTTTTTCTTTACTCATTTAAAAAAAAAAAAGAAAGAAAAAAGAGTTTGAGAGATGTCTTAGTGGCTAATAGCACTAGCTGTTGTTGCAGAGGACCTGATTTTGATTCCTGGGATCTGTGCAGGAATAGCTCCTGGGCATCTGGCACCCTCACCTGGCCTGAGGGCATCCACACTACACACATAAATAAAGGAAAAATCAGTACTTCTTTCTTTTTTAAATGACGGTTTCTGTTTCTTAGTTGCTTTTCAACACATTAATTCTAGTACCTGCTCTCTCTCTCTCTCTCTCTCTCTCTCTCTCTCTCTCTCTCTCTCTCTCTGTGTGTGTGTGTGTGTGTGTGTGTGTGTATTTAATGTTAACTAAATGGTTTAGTGCAGCACAGTGGAGGGCTGGGGGTTGAGCCCAGGACCTTGTGCATGCTAACAAAGTCCTCCTCTGTATTTTGTTCTGTTTTGTTTGTTTGTTTGTTGTTGTTGTTGTTTGTTTTTTTTTTTCGAAGTGGTTTCTCTGTGTAACAGCCCTAGCTGCTTGGAACTACCTCTGTAGATCAGGCTGGCCTCGATCTTACAGAGAGCTGCCTGCCTCTGCCTCTGGTTTAAAGGCGTGCACCACCAGTGCCCGGCAGTCCTCTACTATCATCCCTG